ATGAGACTCCTATCTTCAATAAACCACCAGAAAACCGAAGTGGCACTGTAGCTCAAGTGTTAGAGCACTCGCCTTCAGCTGAAAAAACAAAACAAAACAAAACAAAACAAAACAAAAAATAGGTTTGAACCTGTGTGCAGTGTCTGATGCTTGTAATCCTAGCTATTAAGGAGGCTTAAATCTGAGGATCACAGTTTGGGGCCAGCCTGTGCAGGGAAGTCCCTGAGCCTTTTATCACCAGTGAACCACCAAAAAGCCAGAAGTGGAGCTGTTGCTCAAGTGGTAGAGTGCTAGCCTTGGGGGGGGGGGATGTGAAGAAGCTAAGGGATAGTGACTCAGGTCTTGAGGTCAAGGCCTAGGACTAGCAAAAAAACAAAACAAAAAAACCTCCCCCAAAACCCAACTTGTTTGAATTTCAATAAAAATAGATAGTAGATGTACGGATTTTTATTTTTTACCAGTCCTGGAGCTTGAACTCAAGGCCTGAGCACTGTCTTTGTGCCTCTCTCTGCTCAAGGCTAGCTCTACCAGGGCTCTACCACTTGAGCCACAGCGCCACTTCTGGCTTTTTCTGTTTATATGGTGCTGAGGAATCGAAGCCAAGGCCTCATGCATGCAAGGCAAGTGCTCTACCACTGAGCCACCTTCCCAGCCCGTGTACTGATGTTTTTGCATGTGGACACCCCAGGCCCTCAGAACGGAGAGAAATAAAGTCTATTTCAACCATTCCATCTATATTTTTCTTTTCTGTTACAACATACAGACTATAACAGGCAGTGTCCCAGATGCCAGCAAAAGTTTCACATTGGGTAACTGATTAGGCAGATGATTTCATTTCACATTTGCCTCAACTGTCCAAGTGTTTCTCCATAGGGTATGGGGCGAAACGTTCTCATTTTTGTCTGGGGGAGAAAGTAAACATTTTGTTTGTTTTGTTGGTCGTGGGGCCTGAACTCTGGGCCTGGGCGCTGTCCCTCAGCTCTTCAGCTCAAGGCTAGCGCTCTACCACTTGAGCCACAGCACAACATCTGGCTTTTTTTTGCTTATGTGGCGCTGAAAAATCAAACTCATGCATGCAAGTAAAGCGCTCTACCACTGAGCCAGCTTCCCAGCCTGAAAGTGAACTTTTAATGACTTTGCAGATGCTGAAGTTTACTTTCTGATGCAGGTCCCTCGGGACAACGCTGGCCCTCTGAGAGCCTTGGCACCGTCATTGAGTAATGTTAATATGTTGATGAGCAGATTCAGGTCTGAGAGGGTTGCACTGTTGCTTTGAGCTCATGGAAATGACATCCCATAAGCCCCGAGGTGTCTTGGGACAATGTGATGGGTGAGCCTCCATGGGGAGCCAATCCAAGCCACTCACAGTCCCCATATACGGTGGTGGCCGGTCCGATCACCCCTTTTGAGGAGGCTGACTTCCTGGAGGAAGAACTCTGTGTCCCCCAACCCCCAGCCTTTATGGGGAGGTAGGAAGGCTAGCCTGTGATCCCCCTGCTCTCAGCCTGTGCTTCTGAAAATTTGTTTCTCAGTTTACCTTCCATTATATACTTATATTTACATATGTTTATATTTACATATATTTACATACATTATATATTTATATTTACATAATGATGCTTCCCTTCCCGCCTCATCCCGCCCCCCCTTTTTATTTTTACTCTTTGACACAGTAGTTTGCCTCACATCCTGTGCTGGCCTCCGGATTCCTGATCTTCTCACCTCAGCCTCCAGTTGCTGGGAATACAGGTGAGTGCTACCAAGCTCAGTTTCTTTGATGTTTGTCAGTATTTGGTTTTTCTTTCTGCACCTGTTTGCAGTTTGAGTGTTTTCCATCTCTTTTTTGCAACACTGTATCTCTCTCAGCCTCAGGTATTGCTCTCATCTTGCAGTCATCTTCATTTTATTTGTGAAAAGTCATCATTTTGATACTTTTTTGGCTTTGTTATTAGTAACAAATGTAATAATAACCCATGGGAACCCAATGCCTTTTTGAATCTCTAGTGTCATTCTAGTAATCTCCCCCATTTATTCTCAGTCCAGTAATTACTGCTTATTTGCATTTGGTGAAATTTAATGGTGTTTGATTTTTTTTAATCACTTCTAGTTTCTGTGTTTGTTACATCCTTCTCCTTTTTTCCCCCTAGTCCTGGAGCTTGAATTCAGTGCTTGGGTACAGTGTCCCTCTGCTTTCTTTTCTTTTCTTTCTTTCTTTCTTTCTTTCTTCCTTCCTTCCTTCCTTCCTTCCTTCCTTTCTTTCTTTCTTTTTTTTTTTTCAAATTCAAGATTGACAACTCTATCACTTGAGCCACAGCACCACATCCAGCTTTTTGTTAGTTAATAGGAGATAAGTGTCTCACTGACTTTCCTGCCCTAGCAGGCTTGGAACTTTGATCCTCAAATCCTTTGACCTTAAAGCCTCAGATGATGATGATGATGTTGATGATGATGATTCTGATGATTATTGCCAATCCTGTGGACTGAGTTTAGGGCCTGGGCACTATCCTTGAGCTTTTTTCTTTCTTTCTTTCTTTTTTTTTTCTCAAAGCTAGCTAGCTTTTATTTTTTTGCTCCCAGCACCACTTCAAGCCATTTCTGTGTATGTGGTACTGAGGAATGGAACCAGGACTTCATGCATGCTAGACAAGCCCTCTACCACTGAGCCACCTTGCCAGCCCCAATCAGAAGCTCAGATTTTTGATTGGCTGAGATTACAGGCATGAGCCACTGGCACCTGACTGCATGGTGGGATATTTAGGAGTGATTTTTACTTCTCTCTTCTGCCTGTCTGTAGCTCCACACCACATTGTGAGAACTATGTTTGTTTCCCTTCAATGCACAGCCGGATTGGGAAAGACAAAAAGTGGCTCGAGCCACATCTTTGTGTGATAGGAGACTCCCCCCCTCTGTCTCTCTTTCTGTCTCTCTCTCTGTCTCTCTCTCTCTTTCTTTCTCTCTCTCTTTTTGGGTCCGGTTGTGGGGCCTGAACTCTGGGCGTGGGCACTGTTCCTCAGCTCTTCACCTCAAGGCTAGCGCTCTACCACTTGAGCCACAGCAACACTTCTGGCTTTTTTATTTTTGCTTATGTGGTGCTGAGGAATCCGACCCAGGGCCTCAGGCATGCAAGGCAAGCGCTCTACCACTGAGCCACCTTCCCAGCCCCCCCAATCTTTTTTTAAAGATCTCTGTCTTAGAAGAATTGTGACCTGTTGTCAAAAGTAGAAGTAAAAGTCTGCTCACTACATGTCTGAGCATTTTCACACCCTGTAGAAAAGGCAAGCAGTAGGACGACATTGGCTTAGAAAGAAAATTCGAACAAACCGTCCGGCAAGAAATGCAATCAAAGAGAGTGCACAAAGGCACAATGCCTGTGTGCCTTGGATCATAAAAAAAAACACACAAAAAACATTATTGAAATGAACTCCAGGAGATGGAAACAAGAGGTCTCTTCTTTGTTGGTTTTGTTTTCTTTTCTCTTTGTCTTGTTTGTTGTTATCTGTCTTTGGGAGGGCATCAATGGGCATGGAAGGGGCAGGAATGGTACTCTCTAGACACTATGTGGAAAATGAATGCTACAACCTGTTAGTTTGTGACTGGAGGGAAAAACTGGGAGAGAGTGAGGGAAAGGGTGGCCTTGTCCAAGAAGAAATGTATTCTTTACCTAGCATGTAACTAGAAACTCCACTGCATAACAACTTTATAATAATAGTATATTTTATTTATTTTTATCGGGCTTGAACTCAGGGCTTGGTCACTGTCCCCGAACTCTGTCACTCAAGGCTAGCACTTTACCACTTTGCGTCACAGTGCCACTTCTGGTTTTCTGGGGGTTAAGTGGAGATAAGAATCTCACAGACTTTCCTGCCCAGGGTAGCTTTGAACTGTGGTCCTCAGATCTCAGGCTCTTCAGTAGGTAGGATTACAGGCATGAGCCACATATGCCTGGATTTTTTAAAAAAAGAAAACACATAGATCTCTCTCATCTGGGCCAAATACATTCTGGATAATATATTCTCTTTTTTTTTTTTGTCGGTTGTGGGGTCTGAAATCTGGGCCTGGGTGCTGTCCCTCAGCTCTTCACCTCAAGGCTAGTGCTCTACCACTTGAGCCACAGCGCCACTTCCGGCTTTTTTCTTATGTGGTGCTGAGGAATTGAACCCAGGGCCTCAGGCATGCAAGGCAAGCACTCTACCACAGAGCCACCTCCCCAGCGCCATGGATAATATATTCTCTTGTAATCTCTCCTGTCATCTCTATGCCCACACTTGAGGTTTCTGTGGCATCCTAGCGTGACTCAGTGAAACACAGTGGAACCCTGGAGATCTTCCCCCTTCCCCCATTGCCATTCATTGTATGGACTCCAATATGAGAATTTCACAATATCTGACAGGTGCCGGTGGCTCACACCTGTCATCCCAGCTACTCAGGAAGCTGAGGTATGAGGATCGTGGTTCAAAGTCATCTCTGGGCAGGAACATTCGTGAGACTCTTATTTCCAATAAACCACCAGAAAACTGGAAGTGGCGCTGTGGCTCAGAGTAGTAGAGTGCTATCCCTGAGCAAAAGAGCTCAGGGGTAGCACCAAGGCCCTGAGTTCAAGCCCCACCACTGACAAAAAAAAGCTGAAAATGGAGCCGTGGCTCATATGGTAGAGCTCTGGGCTTGTGCAAAAAAGTCCAGGAACAGCCCCCTATGCCCTGAGTTCAAGCCCTAATAAGGGCACCCCCCCAAAAAAAAGACTATATGTATCATAGGGCTTGAACTCTAGGCCTGGGCACTGTCCCTGGGCTCTTCAGTACTCTAGCACTTGAGCCACAGCGCCACTTCTGGCTTTTTCTGCATATGTGGTACTGAGGAATCCAACCTGGGGCTTCATGCATGCTAGGCAAGCACTTTACCACTAAGCCACCTTCCCAGTCTATAATGTATTTTTTCCCTCTGTTTTATCAGCAGCAGGAGGGGTGGTCATCCAATGAACACATCTAAACCTCATCACGATCATGTTTCCCCGTGACTCCATCTTGGTGCTCTTCCTCCTCTTGGAGCTTTTCCTTGGTTTCCTGGGGAACTCCTTGCTCTTCTCGTTGTCGGTGCACAGCTGCCTGCACCGGCCAGCCCTGAGGAAACCTCTGGACCTCATCCTGGCACATCTGGCACTGACCAATGCCTTGAGCGCCGTGTGCAGGCTGATCCTGGACCTCCTGCCCCTCTTGGGTGTGGGGGGGACCCGGACCTTTTTTTTTTCTGTCTGACCTGGGCTGCAGGGCGCTCCTCTATGCCTACAGTGTCACCCGTGCCCTGAACATCTGTACACTGTCGCTTCTCACAGCCTTCCAGGCCACCACCCTCCATCCCGGCCTCCTCACCTGGGCCTGGCTTCAATGCAAGGCTCCCTCCTTCATCTTTCCCACTTGCCTCTCCTTCTGGATCTTCAACTTGCTCCTCTATCTCCCTGTCCTCAACCGTGGACCCAGGCCAGGCAATTATTCGGGCCCTGCAGCTTCTTTCCTTTGGGCACCCTCTGAAAGCGGCCAGCTGCATTACCGCACCTTCACGACACTCTTGTGTGTCTGATCCTGCCAAAGGCCCTCTGTGTGGGCCTAACGGTGGCCGCCAGCCTCTACATGGTGACATTCCTCTACATGCATCGCCACACAGCTGGGCGCCTGCGCAGCCCCACCCAGGTTTCCCCGTTGCAATGTGAGATCAAAACCACCCACAGCATCCTCACACTGGTAGCCTTCTTTGGGGATGCATTTGGCTTGAACAGCTTTGTCACTTTTTACTCTTTTTATAGACCGCAGGAAAACTCAGGCTTGGAGAAGATGAGCAGGATCCTGTCATCCTGCTATCCGGCCATCTGTCCTTTTGTCCTGATGAGGCACAGGAGAGTGATTTCCAAATTCATCGCTTCGTTTTCAAAGATGAGAATTTCCTTGATGCATAGTAGATGCCGCTGCTGATGGGTCACCCCTGAGAACTGCTGTTGGCCACATTAAAGGGGTGTACGTGAGCTTTTGGGTTTTTCACTAGGGATGAAGTGATTCATGCTGTTGTTGTTGTAGTGTGTGTGTGTGTGTGTGTGTGTGCGTGTGTGTTTGTGTGCGCGCGTGTGTGCTCATGTGCGTGTGTATCCTAGGGCTTGAACTCAGGGCCTGGGTGCTGTCCCTGAGCTTTTGTGCTCCAGGCTGGTGGTGCTCTACCACTTGAGGCACAGCTCCCCTTCCAGCTTTTTTAGTAGTTTATTGGGGATGAGGGTCTCACAGACTTTTCTGCCCAGGCTGGCTTTGGATGGTGATCCTCATATCTCAGCCTCTGGTGCAGCTAGGATTACAGGCATGAGTCACAGGAGCCTGGCTGTTTGTATAACTTTTATTCATTGCCTTTGACAAATTGCTCAAATTTCTAATATTATATGGAAGAAGTGAGTGGAAAAGGGACAGGATTTCATGCTCCTGATCAGGGGAGAAAACTTTCAGTTGTAGCCTCCATAGTGATGGTCATATAAAGCATATACGTGGATGTGTTCTCATATGAATAATATATATATATTTATATAATATTTGGCTTTTCTTTATTTCTCAAGAAGAGGTGTTGGATTTAATAAAAGTTTATTTTGACACTGATTGAATTGCCAGGTGAATCCAGTCATTTGTGTGTGTGATTTTATTTCCGGGTATGTGAACTTTTTTTCTGTTTGTGAAATAGCACTTTAACTCCCTGGAATGGAATCAGCTTGGTGACTGATGTTAGGGAGTAAACTGAGTCAGGAAGCTGAATGGAAAGGGAAATCTCAAATTGCATTAATCAAGGAGTGTTGCTAATCACAACCCGAGGCAGTGCGACAGGAGACCAGAAAGTACAGGGACAGTTATAGAGAAAAGAAGAAATTCAGAGGGGACCAGGGGTCCCAAGGCTCACCAGTACTTGGGCCTTGAGTTCCTCACAAGCAGACATGTTCATTTGAGTTCACACAGGGAAGGTTACCATAGATACATGCAAACAGAAAGGAGAATGCAACTCAGGGAAAGTCCAGAAATGTAGTCCACCAGATCTAGACTTTAAGCTTAAGCTGGGGCTTGAACTCAGGGCCTGGCTACTATCCCTGAGCTTCTTTTGTTCAAGGCTATTGCTCTACCACTTGAGCTACAGTTCCACTTCTGGCTTTTTCTGTGTATGTGGTACTGAGGAATCAAACCCAGGGTTTATGCATGATAGGCAAGCACTCTACTACTAAGCCCCTTTCCCAGTGAGTATAGAGCCTTATAAACTGGAAATAGTGGAAATACACTTCCAATTAGGCCCAATGTTCAGTGGTAGGATTCTAGGCTCACAGTGTATCAGCCCATGAGCAAGCATGTCACATACCAAGTTGGATCCTGGTCTCTGAGCAAAAAAAGGAAAAAGATCTATCCAATGTGCAATGGCCTCTAAAGTAGAGAAGTAGGCCCTGTCTCTTAGGACACTCTCCAGAAAGTCCCATGGTTACAGCTGTATACCCAGAGCCATAGACTCTCCCCAGTGCTATCCAATTTGTTGCTTGAATCCTGAACACTGATGTTCTCCATTGTGTCCCAGTGCCATGCTGCTTGTCACAGTGTAGAATCATGGAGGCTGTAGGATCTAAATACAGGTGTCACAGCCTTTATCTTGGTTTGTCCTTGGCTGTACCCTTTCTCATTGGCTGCATCCTGCTTTGTATTGGCTGTATCCTGCTCCCTCATTGGCTGTCTACTGACTTGTCGTTGACTAGATCCTGCTTCTTCATTGGCTGACAAGTATTCATAGGATGATTTAATAAAAATTCTTTTAACAAACAGCACTGTTAGTAGAAATAGAAGGTAAGGGTGAAATGAAATGTCTATCCGCTGTCTTAATAAAAATAGGAACAAGTTGTTCATTTTAATAATGTACAGAAAATACTTTTTTTTTTTGGTCAGTCATGGGGCATAAACTCTGGGCCTGGGCATTGTCCATCAGCCCTTCAGCTCCAGGCGAGCATTGTACCACTTGAGCCATAGCACCACTTCGGACTTTTCCTGCTTATATGGTGCTGAGGAATTGAACTCAGGGCCTCATGCATGCAAGGCAAGCACTCTACCACTGAGCCACCTTCCCAGCCAGAAAATACATTCTTTATCCCAACAATTATATTTTAAGCAACAAAACCCCAGAAAAACTTTGATGAAAACACACTTTTACACACACACACCCACACACACAGACACACACACAGAAAGAGAGAAAGGCACATTCAGTAAGTCTTCAAAACGTCAATGTTTTAAAATTGCAACATATCTGAATTTGAGTAACTTGTCTAGTGCTCAATCCCCACAGCTCCACTCTAGGTCCTTTGGTGGTCAATTAGATATTATAGTCTCAAGGATGTTCCTGCCTGGGCTAGCTTTGAACCTGTATCCTCAGATGTTAGCATCCTGAATAGTAGAATGACAGGCCTGAGACACTGGCTCCTGGCTTCTGTGGTGTTTCTATCATCCTACAAACAGCAAGGATGAGGTGAGCAGAGTTGGATAGCTACAATGGTCTGGTCTTCACTTCCTCTTACAATGGATCATTCTTGGTATAACATAAGTGAGTGAACCATTTTGAAACCATTCTGTTATTCTTCATGAGCAAGAATGGGCAGAGGGTGGGGTAGCTGAAGGACAACATCACAAGCACAGCCTTGGATTTGTTCAATTTCTCCGGTGTGTAGAAGGAATACACAGTCACGATGTTGTTGGAGCAATAGAAGAACACGAAGCAGCTGACCAGCAGCAGGATGGTGTGGGTGGCTGTGTTCTCGGGTGCCGGCTGGGAGGCAAGACTGGGACTGTGGAGGTGCCGGGCTCTGCGGCGGTGTCGGTAGAGGAGCGTCACCATGTAGAGGCTGGGAGCCACCATGAGGACCAAGAACAGAGTATCTCGCAGCACAATGGAGCTGATAAGGGACATTTGGTTGTCCATTCCAAACTTCACTTGACAGTAGGGATGAGAAAATCCCAGTCTCATGACGGTTGAATTGCAATTGGATTGCACAGATTCAATCATGTGGAAATACATGATGGAACTGAAGATCCAGAAGGAGAGCAGTGAGGGGAGGATGCACGTGGAGGATCGGCTTTTCAGCCAAGCCCACTGGGCAGGGGTGCGGCTGATGTTGAGGGCCTGGAAGGCACTCATGAAGGTGGTAGTGCAGGTGGACAGTCCCCGGGTGACCCTGAACAGGAACAACACAGCCTTACACATGGCATCATCCCAGAAACACAGGACTCCAAACGAGGAGACGATGAAGGGCATGGACTCAAAAATGATGCTCAAGGCGTTGACCAGGGTCAGGTGCATGAAAACTATGGCAATGGGCTTCCGGAGCCGGGGTTTGCACAAGAAGCTGTATGCATACAGCAGGAAGAGGATACAGTTCCCCAGGACACCCAGACACACCTTAGACACAAAGAGGAGCCTGAACACAGTGTCACCTGGGGTGGCTGTCATTGTGTGAGTGTGTGTGTGTGTGTGTGTGTGTGTGTGAGAAAGAGAGAGGGAGAGAGAGAGACAGAGAGACAGAGAGAGTGAGAGTGTATGTGTGTGTTGTTGAGAATCAAAGTAAGAGCCCTGCCCAGTCAGGCAGGTGAGAAAGCTCTAGACAACAGTGTGAGTCCCATAGGCGGGAATCTTCATGGTGTTCCATTTCTTGATCAGGTAATCCAGGCTTAGAATGAATGCCAAAAGATAGAGTGTTAAACAAAGAATTAAAAATAGTTTCTTTTTTTGGGGTGGTTCATACCGCTTATGATATTGGAATTCACGGCCCGGGTACTGTCCCTGAGCTTTTTTACTCAAAGCTGGTGTTATCCCATTTGAACCACAGCTCCATTTCTGGCTTGTTGGTGGATCACTGGAGATCAGAGTCTCAAGGACTTCCCTTTCTGGCCTGACTTTGAACCTGGATCCTCAGATCTTTGCCTCCTGAGCAGTTGGGAGTACAGGTGTGAGCCACCAGGGCCAGGCCAAACAATTATTTTAACTGGAGTCTGGGAAAAATGTTCCACTTGCCAGTTCTGGAGAGTTGGAAGTGTTCTGACCTCGGTATTTCAGACATGAATGTGCTGTGACCTTTGAATCTGGGATGTAGGGCCTGGAAGGACCTGGGGAGACACATGTTAGAATCAAGAGGGAATTCAAGGGCACCACACTGGGCTGGGGTGTTAGGAAGGAAGATCACTGGCTGTCTCTTCCTGTGGTCCCTGGGGCACCAGGAGCCCGTGCATCTGATTGGCTTCACTTTTTGTAAAATCTTCATTTTTTGAACACCTGTTGCACAAATAGCACATCCATGTAAAATCCCTGTGGGGATTTTACAACATGACTTTTGTTTTGTTGGTTGGTCATGGAACTTGAACTCTGGGCCTGGGCGCTGTCTCCATTCTTCAGCTCAAGGCGAACACTCTACCTCTTGAGCCACAGAGCCACTTCTGGTTTTCTGTGGTTCATTGGAGATGAAAGTCTCATGGACTTTCCTGCCTGGGTTGGCTTTGAACCTTAAATCTCAATGTCCTGAATAGCTAGTATTACAGGCGTGAGTCATCAGTACCCAGTACAATATGATTTTTTTCATGGTGTATAGAGATACTAGAAGGTAAATATCTATCCAATATTTTCTCTACATTTCTTTCTGTCTGTCGTGGGGCTTGATCTCAGGGTCTGGGTGCTATCCCTGAGCTCTGCAGCTCAGGTCAAGTGCTCTACCGCTTCAACCACAGCACCACTTCCAGTTTTGTAGTGGTTTCTTGGAGATAAGGGTCTCCCGGACTCTTCTGCCTAGGTTGGCTTTGAACCGTGACCCTCAGGTCTCAGCCTCCTGAGTAGCTGGTATTACAGGCTTGAGGGACCAGAGCCTGGCTTATTTTCTGTATGTTTGAGAGTTTTCCCCCTGTATCATTCTTACTCATTACTGTTCTTGTGTTTTCTCTCACATCACAGAGAATCCTTTGTTCCTCAATAAACTTGCACTGAATTAAATTAGTATCCCATTTTTCCTGACCAAGTCTGTAAGAATATTGTTCAACCCATTCTCCTGAACAATCTCCTGCAGAACAAAGTTCTGCCCTCTTTGCTGCTGCATGGAAGTATTCTCACCGTTTCCTGGCCAGAAGCAACAGACAAATTATTGAGCATGACAACTCAGTGTGTTGCCCTTCTCAACATCCATTGTGCCTTCAAGAGGCACTTTAACTTTTATGAATTAGAATTCTTAGGAATTATGATATTTGCTATGGTTCACAAATGTTCATCATATTCTCATATTGGTAATATGTGTTATCTTTCCTATGTAATTAGGATCTTTCCAGATTGTCCTTTTCTATGTGTGTTGGTTGTGGGGGTTGATTCTGGGTCAGAGCAAGGTCCCTGAAAATTTTTCCTCATACCAGTACTCTATGACTTGAGCCACAGCTTTGTGTCTGGCTTTTTGGTGCATAATTGGAGATCAGTGTCTTATGGACTTTCTTGCCTAGGCTGCATTTGAACTGTCATCCTCAGATCTCAGTTTCCTGAGTAGTCAGGATTACAGGCTTAAACCACACACCACAAAATCATCTTTTAACAAGTGCTTGCCTTTTCCCTTTTGCTATCTCTAAACTTTTCATGTTATTTAGCATGAACTCTAGAACTTTCTAGTGAAGTTTGTTATTTTATATTTTTCCTTCTTATTGGACAGAAGAGTAGTGTGAAGTGAGAGTATTAAATGCAGCTCACTCACAAAAAACTGACTTGGGCTGCATATTTCCCATAAGGCGCTCTGCTCTGATTCTCATTCCATGACCCACTGGGCAATTTTAAGACTCACATTACTAGGATCAACCATTTCAAGGCATTATTTTACCAAAAGTCTTTAGTAATTAGCAGCAATAACAGGGGAAAAAAGGAAAGATGGAAATGATATAAATGAACCTGATCAAGGCAGTTCATACATTTGACCAAAGTGTCATGAGAAACCGCACACCCAGCCTTTCTTAAATGTCATCTTTCATCCAGTCAGAATAAAATTCCATTTCTTCTCTCTCAGACACTGATGAAGCCAATCCACTGCTCTGAGAAGCCACAAGGGTGCAGAGTTGTTTCAGCTGAAAAACATTTCCCAACACAATTATTGTGCTTTACAAATGGAATGAAAACTGCCCCAGAAAAACGATATCTCCACACACTTGAAACTTAAAAATCTGCTGTGAAAACTTGCTACTATGAAGATGCACTATGAAATTTCTGCCAAGAAATCAAAGAGATGATTCAGACACAAGGATCAAGAGAACAATGTCAGAACTGAGCCCCAACATTACAGACTGGGTCTTGGGATGAGGACAAGGAGAGCAGACAGCCCTTATGGGAGAAAACACAGAACAAGTCAACTATTGTGAACAAGCCCCTGTTTCACACACCACCCACTCAGTGTTCAATAGGATGGGGAAATGTTCACCATTAAAGTAGTAGCTGGCAAGCTAATTTAAGATGGGAATATTAGAGATAGCAATAGAGAAAATGCAAGCCCTTATGGAAAGAATATTTTGTGGCTCACCTGCTACTCAGGTGGCTGATATCTGAGGATATCTGAGGATCCCAGTTCTAAGCCAGCTCAAGCAAGCAAAGTTTGTGAGATTTGTGTCTCCACAGAATCCCCAAAAGCTGGAAGCGGAGCTAGAGCTCACATGGTACAATGTTAGACTTGAGCAAAAGTATTTAGTGACAGTGTCCTAGCCCCAAGACTAGCACATAATCACACACACACACACACACACACACACACACACACACACACACACATACACACACCATGATTTTGTTTTTCCCCTTATAAATACATTTGAAAGTACTCCTAATATGCCTAGAAGAACAAACTTACCACCGGTGAGTTGGCAGTTGTGCAGGACTGGAGGAAACTGAGCAGTGTTGTGCCACAGCGGCTGAGGTGTGCACACCCGAAAGAATAAAAAGCAAGCAAATGCCTGAAGGAAAAGGGTAGCATGGAGAGAAAAAAGAAAGATGGTATTCAGCCGCAAACACAAGTGAGAGAAATGAAGACGGGACAGTGATGCACACCTGCAATCCTAGCTACTCAGGAATCTGAGATGTGAGGATTGGAGATCAAAGCTAGGGAGAGCAGGAAAAGTCCAGGAGATCATTATCTTTACAAAAACTAAATAAGTAAAAAGAACCCCACAATTGGAGCTGTGGCTCAAGTGTTCTAGAACTAATCTTGGGCAAAACAGCTAAAAAAAAATCTGAGCACCAAGGGCTTGTCTTCAAGCCCTAGGACTGGCACCAAAAATGAATAGGGAGAGAAGTGAATCTGCAAACCACAGCTCATCCTGGGATGGGCAGTGTTGGGCCTTCATCCCACCCCTGGCTCTGAACCGAGGTTCAATGTGGCAGAATCCTTCCTCTGGCTGTCTGGACTGCAGACACACAGAGTGTCTTTGGAAGCCTGGCTTGATCATGCATGCCCATATCAGCCAATGAGGACAGGGTGGTGCTGGTGGTGGTGGTTCCCCAGGGTGTTTGCTCACCTTGTCTCCTGCTGCTGTCACTCTGACCCTGTTTTTCTCTTGTCATCATGATGAACCAGAGCAGTCAGGTGCCCTGTCCCACGTGCACAGCATGTCTCCTGATGCAGGTCTGTCTGTGCTCCCAGTCCCAGTGGCGTCAAGAAAGTCAAATGGAGACACTAAGAGCTCATTCAAAGTTACTTCTCACACCACTGGTAGGAAATTACCTGAGCACTGCAGGGCAGAGTTCGGAGAGCACTGTGCCCTACACTGGGAAGTACTGAGCCCACATCATTCATGGCTTCGCACTGAGCTCCATGGTGTCTCCGTCTTGGCTCACTGATTGATCACCCAAAGTTAGGATGTTGTGATCACAATGAGTCCTTCTTTGTATAAAATGGGACCAACACAAAAACATAGAAGATGTATGCTGGGAGGGTGGCTCAGTGGTAGAGCGCTTGCCTTGTGTGCATGAGGCCCTGGGTTCCATTCCTCAGCAACACATAAGCAAAAAGAAAAAAAGCCAGAAGTGGTGCTCTGGCTCAAGTGGTAGAGTGCTAGGCTTGAGCTGAAGAGCTGAGGGACAGTGCCCAGGCCCAGAGTTTAGGTCCCATGACCTAACCTCCCCTCCCCAATTAAAAGAAGGAAAGATAGAAAATGAACTAGAAATGTGTTGTGTTAACTTGTCACTGGAAGACAATTTCTTTTTTTTAAATTTAATTTTATTTTATTTGTGAACATATTGTACGGAAGGGTTACAATTACATGGGCAGGATAATGTGTACATTTCTTACCAAGCATTGCAGCCTCCTCCTTTGGTTTACCCTTCACATCCCTTCCCAGCCTCCCCCCTCCCCCCAATCCCAATCTTTCTCCTTCCCCCCTTCCCCTCCCCCCTGCACCGACGTTGTAAAGCTCGTTTTGGACATGATGACTTGTACTTCTCAGCAACAG